CACTAGCTGTGTGGGTGTTTGTTTTGGCTGTCCCTCTGTGAAGTCACCAGTCCTCAGACATGGTGGATTTAGCGCTCTTATATCTTGTCCACCGTTAGTAGCCAGGAGGCAGCCCCAAGATACAAGTGGATAAGAACTTAAATGGGTACCCCCCAAACAAGGAGGCTGGTGGAAATAAGTCCCCACCTAAAACATGTCCACCAAGGCCCCTCCCTATTATAATTCACAGCCGTTATTGGCCAGGAGTCTTGACCTCTTCTTTATTGCCAAGGGGTGGAGAACCCTCAGGAATCGGTCCCACCTTAGTAAGAACGACAACGTACGAAGCGGTACCCTGGGTACCCTTGCGGGTTTCAGAAGGGACACCCAGCGACACCGCTGAATCCATGCGCCTCGGTGTGCCAAACGCCAGGCCCTGTGGAAGGGCTCCCTCATGGGGATCGGCCCCTGCATCCTCACAAAGGTCTGCTGCGCGCCCTTTATGGGCGAGGCCGGGAACCCTCGCCGCCCCAAATCACGGGGACATGCCCAACCCGCAAAAAAGACTGGTTTGGTCTTGTGTGGTTTCAAGTACTGCACGCTCGAAGTAATGTGTGGAAGGTCCCAGACATTATCCTGAACTCACCTGTTTTGATCTTGAGTTTTCCTGTGGTATGCAGTTGCTTTGTGGTCCTCCGGATTCCTTCAGGTTGCGTAGCCCCCCCCCCTTGCAATGCATAAAAAGGAGGGAAGTGGGGTTCCCAGTTTTTACGGGAGACGCGGCTCTGAGGCCAAGTGGGTCATCGGCTGGGCCATGGTGGGCGCTGACCTCAGCTGGTGAGGCGAAACGAAAGAGCGGGAGGAGTTTTGACCTTGCGCCCAAGCAAGGCCCAGAAGGAAAGCTCCCATTGTTTATTCATACCTGGCTTGCATAGGTATGCCAGCTCTGTTGAGTCTTAGAGTCTTGTCTTGTGCGCAGTCTCCAGGCCGAGCTGAGTTTGCTTACCTCATCGCCCAAATGGCCGCAGCTGCCGAGATGATGGACGAGGACACCTTCTTGGTGCCCTTGCGGGGCTGGATCGGTTTGACTCTCGCTCGAGGAGATGTTCTCCATTGTCATCTGGGCCCTGCTGTGGGCCACAGTTTTTGCCCCGCCCATGCCCGAGCTGAGCTAAAGCGGAAAGCACTTTCGGGTGCCCAGCGGCTCAGAGTTCAACAGCCCGAGGTTTGTCTTCCGCTACGTGCTGAACAAATACGTCCAGTCACAAGGCCGGCGTCTCAGACTCCTTGGTGTGTGGGTGAGCTTAGCCTGAAGCGAGCAGGTTTGACCGACAGGGAGCCCAACCCTGGGTTCGGCGAGGACGAGGCGCGTGTCCTTTCGGGTGCATCCACGTTCCAAAGACATGTAGAAAGCACCTTGACGGTTAAATTTCCAGCTCTTTCAGGGCTTCGAAGTTGTATTTGGCTGTTGGATTTTCCGCCTCCTTTGGTGCTTCATCAGGATGACCAGGGGCACTTGCGCATGGAAGTTACTTGCCAAGGATGGATACGAAGCATCGGAGCCTTCTGAGCGTGGCGACATTGTCTGCTCCCCAGTTTCTCAGAAGCCGAATCGCTCGACGCAGCCGGTCCAGAGACAGTACCGACAAACGCAAAGTCGGGACTTTTTCTTGGCAAATCCACTCATTGCACTTGGGGAGATTCCAGTCAGAGCCCAAATTTACGATGTCATCTCTTCTAAGCCCAGCGTTTGTGTCGAAAAAGGCCTCCATTCAGTGGTGTCCTTTTGTTTTTTCCCAACCACTTGACTCCTTGGCTTTCTGTATGCGAACAAAGGCCCAGGAAGCCGAAGCCTTGTTGGGCTTGCAGGCCACGGACCAGGAATACAAGAACAAGATGGACGAGCTGAAGGTTGCCCCTGTGGAGGCGAGTTTGGTCTCCATACGCATCAAACTGCTCGCTCAATGTCCAATCTCCGAATCGGCCATGGCGGAGACCAACTGTTTGCTGTGATTCGTCGGTGTTCGTTTTGAGCAAAGGGCAAAAAGTTACCCCCCAACAACGAGCCTGGCACGCTCAAGAACGCCACCTTTCCACACATCAGCCTGACGCGCGGTTTTGAACTGCCTGTTTTCTTACAAAGTGGATGATTTTCCTTCCGCCACTGAACTGGATTCAATTGCAGCGTCGCGGACCGTTTTGTTTGAAGTAGTGAGCTGTATGCATCATACACAAGCAACTCAGGTCCCTGTACACATAGGAGTCTTTTTGCAAGCCCCATGGACACAGGCTTTTGTCCTTTCAGACTCAGCTAGTGGGTGTCCGTGACACATGGTGCCTTAGAATGGAACGCACGCCAGGCCCCGTGCGAGCCCCAGCCTGGGTTTGCAACGCCGCTTTTGGGGAAGCGGCCTTCTTGCAGGATGTGCTGGGTTCAGAATGCGTATAAAGCCTTGTTAAGTGGTCTCATGTTGGCCCGAGCTTCTCACCCCCTGTCAGATGCTTCCAATCAAAGGACAGTCAACTTGAGGGTTACCTTTTGGCAATGCAGAATTAAATCGCGTATAATCCCCTTTGTGGCATTTCTTCGAGATGATCATCGACCAGGCATATTCTACTTTAGATGCACCTGGGTTCCCTTAAACCGACCATCGGCAAATCATCCTTCGCGTGTCAAGCTGAAGCCCATGGGGTGGTCAAACTGTTGGGTGCTCTTTGGGTAAGCCAGTGAAGTTCTGCCCTTCTTCTTCTTTAAGGGGTCCAAACAAGGGCTTTCATGTTGGCGACCTGCCTGTCTTGAGAAGCGCTCGCCTATTTTGCCAAGACTCAAGGCAATCTGTTTTCAGCCGAGCCCAGCCTTTGCTTTTTTTTCTTTCCGGGTCTCCGGGTCATCGGGCTTTCCGAGTTTCCATCGAGGTCCGCGGCGCAGGGCTCGGAGGCCCGGTGCTGCGCCTTCACGCGGAACGCCGGGCCCTTGAGGTGTGCTGCGGGCAGGCTGCGGGTTGTAGCTGCGCTTTTCAAGTTTGAAAGGCCCCCTGCGCTTTGCAATTTTTCATCCACAAGGGAATTGTCTCCGTGGTGAGCGTTTACACGTACCCATCGGTGGCAGACCACCCCAGCTGCGGCTGGGCTTTGCCTACTTTTTGCGGGCTTTGTGTGAAGCTTGGCCTTTTGCGTCGAGTTGGCATTGACCCACACCAGCCGGAGCCAGTAGAGCATTCGGAACCCAGCCAGCTTCCAGTTTGTAAATGCCCTGCAAGTACAAGCGGCCGATCGAAGCATCAGGTGGTGTGATGGCAGTTTCACTGAGAAGCCGTGGGCTGTCGCCTTTTTTCTGAGAGGTTCCTTCTGGATTCTCGGCTGGAGCGCTGCTCTTGAGCTTAGGGAAGGGGCAGGAAGTCTCCATTCGACCCCATAGCTGGCTTCCTGCTCCCGACGCATAAAATGCGACTTGGAGAAGCTCACACCCCAATTGCAGGTCCTTCCCCGGCACTGTGGACAAAGTCTCCCTTGCAAGCGCTGTTGATGGGAAACAGCTGGTTGGCTGTTATGAACATGCATGTCCATTGGTTTGAAGCTGCTGGAAACACAAGCAAAGTTTTTCCAGCGCTTGCCAATACTGCAGCGGTGTCGGAACTAGTCAGGACTGGAACGGTTTTGATTGGCGAGCTCCCGAAGGGATCGCTCAATGCTCTGGCAAGATCTATCCGGGCTCACGTTACGTCAGCTCAAAAAGTGGTGACGCTGTCAGCGCGTGTGTTGCATCCCAGGAACCTCCCAAGGGCAAGCCCAGTCCTTACATGACCCAAATATACCCCGAGGCGGAAGCCCAGAAGCCTTGGTATAGATGCGAGGTCAGCGGTCAGCGTCGATTCATTGAGCTTCATGTGAAGAATCCTCGACGGGTTTGTTGGACTTGAGCTGCGGATCTTGGCCTCAGAGCATGCCATTTGTCATCACACTCATGACTCGTCGCTATTTCATCGAAATGGCTAGTTGCCACCTTCTACCACTCGTAGGCAGGCTTTGTGCCGGAAGGCAGACCCAAGAGTGAAAACAGCAACCGGACACTTGCAGTCAGTTGCCCGCGACAAACATTGTTGCACAAAGCAACAGGTGGTAGCCGGTACGCAATTGTCAAGGCTTTTGCTTATGCATTCGTGAATGTCAGCAGCAGCACCTGGCAGTGCCGCTGACATGCCTCAGTCGCCCGAGAGTGCTTTCGTTATTCCGCGTCCATCGTGCTTTCTGCCAACCAGCAATGGTGAGTATCATTTTTTGCGCCGCCTTTGTCGTAAGGGGCATTGTGCCAGCAGAGTGGGCTACTCCGCAACACATCTGGGACGCTTTCTCAAATCCATCATGGGCTCATGGAGAATTTGCGCTGGTGTGCTTCGCTGTGCCGTTGCTGTGATTGGGTATGTGTCACACAACAACTGTCGTAACGTCATGCTTTCACTCCATTTTTACAATTAGCTCTTTTCTATTCTCTATTTGTCCAGAGTCACATCATGCTGAGAGACTATCCATTCGGAAGTCATTAAAATGATATCATACATTAGTACAAGGACATGGACAATTACAGGATATTCGGAAAAACAAATTGTAGGATAAGAAAAATGACAGTAAATATGCTAGCGTATGAACATTCTAGCTTACAGGCCAAGGGAATTCATTCATACCATTCCATCTTATGCCTTCACATGTCTTCCAAATGAGTGTATATTCAAGATGGAATGGTGTAGCTTCCTCGTTACACTGTTTTACCTGGAGATCTTATGTCTGGAGCAATAATCGACATTTGAATCTGGGTTAAGATTCAGAGTTTTTCCGTTCCACCCTCTATTCCAGTTCCAGAGGCTATTACCTGCTCAAATGAGCGGGAGGCTTTCCTCGCCACTTTAGGTAGAGACTAACTGGAAAGGCGAGGGGAGAACCCCATTCAGATGTGTAGGGTTCGTTCAGGTTTTGTGCCTTGAAGCCCTGCGGAAGGCTCTCGCATTCTCTGAACGCAACCAGAGGACTTGGAAGCAGTTCTCCGTCTTCACGGAAGATCGGATGTGCAGGCGGAATACGCCACAGACTACGGCATATGACTGTGCGTCAAGACAAGTTGGCCCTCTTTTGGGATGGTTTCAATCAGGCTCGTGTCGCAAGCAGCCCAAGTATTGGTTTTGGAATTGAAAGCAAGTCTAGCGCGACCTCTACCAAACACAGAAAGCCGGTGCTCGGCATAGTGCCAAAATTGGACAGGCAGCTGCTGAACATTGCCCACGCCTTGAAGCGCGCTGCTCGAGGCGAGGGCCCGGAGGCAGGAGGGGCGGGGCCAACGGCTCTGATTTCTTTGATCGCTCATTCGGAGTTCCTCAATCCGTCCCCCGTTGAGTTGGCTTTTAAGCGAAACCAAAACGAAAGCGCTGTCATTTTAGGCGGCCGATTGGTATTTTGAGATTCACTCGAACAGGAGGCAGTAAAGCGTTTCACCTGTGCAAGGGGTCAAGACTAGAGTCAAGGAACCATGACCTGTTACTAGGGAGTGCGAGGAGTGAATTTTCCTGGCTTGCTTATTACTGTTGTGTTTGGAATTTGTTTGCGCAGGAAGAAAGACAGTTCGGAAAGAAGGGGGATAGGAAAAAGGAACAGGAAGAGCGGCTTTGTCCACGCTTTAGCTTTTTCCCTTGGCTTGGCGGCTTGGGCGAGCCAACGCAAGTTGCAGGCCGATCTACGGAAACCAACAACTTCCACCAGTGCCTTTGGACGCCACCAGTATTTTTGGTGCATTCTTGCCATATTTTTCTACAGGGGCAGCGGCAACTATATTCCACGGAAATCAAACCGAATCCCTCGCGTCCGGCGCGAATCCAGGGCTGTTGCCAATCAGGCGGTTGACTGGATGTTCCACCTCGATCACGACGAGCTCTTCCTTCCACCGGAAGGCTTACAGGCGGGGATTGCAGCGCGTGGCCGGGGCTCAGGGCCTAAACCCGACGGCCCAGAAGTAGCAATTGCTAAGACGATATAGTTTGAGCCATATGAGTTGCATTTTTTGCTATACAATCACACGTTCTTTTTGGTGAATGGTACAGGCTGGCAACCAACTATTGCTGTGTTTCTGCCAGCCACCTGAACCTGGGATTGTACAGACCCGCTTTGGGACAAGCAACGCACTTCAAAACGCGTCGCAGCGTCGGCAGCGTCGCAGCGTCGCAGCGTCGCAGCGTCGCAGCGTCGCAGCGTCGCAGCGTCGCGCAGGCTCACTTCCAACATTTGGAAGATGGGGGTTGCCGTGCGGCCCCCCGGACTTCCGGGCTTCACGTTGGGGCGGTGAGCGCTGGTGCCACCGAGCCAACAGAAGAGTTGCCAACGCGGTTGGGCAATCGAATCCACCGAACGCAGCCAAACTGCCCAACTGGCAACCAGGCGGCTGAGCGGCTTCTCGGCTTCCGTACATTTCGTCGGATCAAGGCCTCTGCCTCTACCAGAACTTTGAGGCCGCACCGCAGGCACAGCTCCCGTGTGCCGAATCTGACGGATGCCAGCCTGATGCCAGTTTGAGGAGCAAGTTCTGTCAAATGTCTGCAATTTTTTTTTAAAGGCTGTGTCCTTGGAGAGGCCCAGTTTTGTCGAATTGCGCAAGAAAGAGAAAGAGGGAGAGGGAGCACAAGCTGTGCGGCTGTCGCCGGTCTTACTTTTACAGATTGCTTGGGGTGATCGGGGCCGGTATTCAAAACTCTCCGCCTCGCTTTGGCGTGATCATTCTTTGGAATGAGAGCCTGAATCACGTTGTATCACTCTGTTGCAACCCATCCCTACAAGAAGGGAGGAAGGCCCCCTAGTCCTAGTGGGCTTCACGTTTCTTTAGTTTCCCTTAAAAACTCATCCAACAGGAGGGCGTTTTCCTTTCCCAAAGACATTTTTACATCCCAACATTCTCAAGAGCTTTGGCACACAGGCAGCTGCCCCATTGGTATATTTCCAATAAGTTGAACCTTGGACATTATCAAGAAGGATACATGTCACTGCTTCATACAACTATGACATTATTACATCCGACAACTATACCAACGGTGTTTCCTACGGGGGATCCCTCAAGATGGTTGGCTTCCCTCTGAACATCCCCAAACGGGGACCCAAATCGACCATGCGTGGAGGCTCACACGCTGACCCCCTTCCTTGACGTGAGCCTCTTTAAGGTGCCGATTCGGCCAAACACGAGTCCGATTCGGAACAGGGATATTCATTTCAGTATGTGTCGAAATAGGAGGACCCGCAAAATGGAGATTTCCATGTCGGTTTCACTCAAAACCAACACAAAAAAGGGGCCATGCCAAAACAGCCTTTTAGGGAACTAAGCGCACGAAGAGGCGTGCGTGCGTGTGCGTAGACAAGGCCTCGCAGTGAATCATGTGTGTGATGTGGTCTCTTGGCAGGCCCTGAGCAATGGGAGGTGTGTCTCACATTTCGCTTCAAAGCCGCAAGCCCGAGGTCCTGACTCGAGACACGGGCCAGGGTAGCGCCAGTTTACTGGCTTGGCCAGTTGGATCCAGTTGGCTTTTGCAACTTCTGTACCAACTTGAGCCGAATATTCAGGGTGGCTAACCTGGAATAGAAGTGGCTTCACCCATCGATGCGCGTGGCCCTTTCTTCGCCTTTTGCGCTTCCCGAGTCCGCAACTGCGTCTATTGAAATTGTTGGAGACCAAGCAGCTCGGCTTGCCGACTAAATTGGCAACGCGCGGCGGTTTTCTCGGTCAGAGGCGCTGTTTGTCATGGACAATCATTATCATTTGGTAGGTTGCGAAACAGCCTTGACGGAGGAATCCGACCATGGAACGCCCTTCTAGGCGGAAACCGCCTGTTGCATCCCTATGCATGAGTTGCGGGGATCGTTTTTTGCACTTCCCCTGTTCGTCAAATGGACAATACATACCAGGACCTTCCCAGATCTCTAGCTGTTTTGCCCGGGCTTGCCTGCATGGTGGTTCCGCAAATTGGTGTTTCCTTCCTGTTTCCCTCTAAATCAAACGCAAAAAAGGGTACCCTTCAAGAAAAAACGCATCCAACCACGTGACACTTACCCATAGATTCCGCTCACGTTTCTTTTTCCAGGTGCCTAGCGGTCGTGTGGCCAAGACACCGCCTACGCCTGAGCGGAGAAGGGGCAAGCAGTTGGAACATGCGTCTAGAGATGCGAAAGGGGGTCCTAGGCTTGACGCGTTGTGCAAACACCATTAATCTTGGAAACATGATTGATTCTGCTTCGCCCATATACCTTGGAAGCATGCTTGAAGATGGACATACCACCCCTGATACGTGAGACTGGCCACTCGTGGCCCCAGACTGGGCTCATAAAAGTGATTCCATTGGGTGTCTCAAGGTGGTTTCTATTTGAGCGGATTTCCCTTTCCAACACTGGGGGGGGGGCGTTTCATGCTGCGATCTATTTTGGCCTCTGGACTCGCTCAGTGGCCCCTCTGCTCTGCAACGCTCAGGCTGGGCGCCGCTGGCATGAACTTCTGGGCCCAGCGCACCAAGGCACGGGCGCTTTTCATGGGTGTGAGGGCACATTTGGGATGGTGGACACCTCAAAATTAGTTGGTGGACAAACAAGCAGAATGTGCATTGTCTTCACCAAAGGGTCCCCAAGTCAGATGCATATGATCCATATTTCTTGCGTCCTGACTTACTCAATCCCAACAAAATCTGACGATATTCAGTCTGGCGGGCGTTGCGAAACACAACAAACGTGAGCCTGGGCGCCAAAGAAGCCCTACCCTCGCAATTCGGCTGTTTGGTGTAAGTTACGTAAGACTGCCACTTGTTTGCACTTCAATTCAGATGAGAAGGAGCCAGTGTTTTCTGTGCTGTGGGCTTGAATACGAGGGGACCAAGACCCCAACAGGCTTTGCGTAGCTGGTCAGACTCGGTTGTCAAGCCGTGGCTGCATTCTTAAGAGATGCTGGATGCATGAAAGGGGTAGGTACTCCGATTTTTGGCACAAGGGCAAGCCGCCATGCCAGGGTAGAATCAACTAAAATGGTTCATGCAGGGAAAACCAAATCACTGATGAATGACAGGGACGTTTTCGGAATTTGCGATGGACCATTTTCATGCTGGAGGCTGGCACCCACTTCCTGTACTACGACAATGGCAAGAGCGCGGTGCGAGTTCGCTTGGGCCCTGGCCACACCTTGAGAGGAGCGTGCGGCGTCGTGGGTTCGGCGCGATTCTGGGCCCAGGCCGCAATGTGGAGATAGCGCCCACATCGGCCGGAGGCTGAGTAGCTTAGCTTGGGATGTGCAAAACAAGGGCCCCCCCAATTCGCAGCTGTAAAATCAAGCATTTGGAGGGGCTTCCTGGTCTTAGAGAGCCACATTTGGCGTCTTGGTTGAGATTTGGCAAGTTTGGAGATCCAGTTTTGCTTGTGCAGCTGGCTTCATTTTGCAGGTCCACCTGCTGTACCCTCCAGAAGACTTGGAGGCTTGGCCGTGTGAAGAGCTTTGCCTTGTTGCTCGGGTTGCTGCGCATTGGAGATTGAAGGCACTGCTGATTTTCTGCCTTTCAACTGTTAGAAAGGGCATTATGTATTTGCTTTGCTCACTTGTTCGGGGCGCATATCCATTTGTGAATTTCCTGGTAGGGAAATCAAGCTGTGGGCCGCATAAGCTGACTCCCCAAACCAACAGGGTGCCAAAAGCGAGAGCGCAGTCTTGCAAAGGAGTTCCTCGTGGATTTTGTAGACTTCGCCTCCACAATTGTCGGCGTAGTGATTCGTGGCCAGGAGCTGATCACCAAGAGGCAGGCCTGGACCAACTTCCCGAAGCATGAGCTAGCGGATCCTTGGCGAGGTGTTAGATGGAATAGTTGCTCATGTCTTTAAACATGTGACATTTTGTAGAGCTATATCTTTTTGCCTGTTTTTTGTCAGGGCCAGGGTCTGGTTGTTCAGTCAAATTTTGTCCAACCCTGGCTAGAGGCCGACAGGTTTATTGGGGATGGTCCCAATCCAGAATCCAAGCATGCGGGGCGGCCTCTTTTTCTCTTTTCCGGTATCTTCCGTGTTGGGGCAGGGGGCTTCAAATGCGGAAGCGCCTTTCGGACGGGCCCTGTCAATGCAACCTTTGAAGGGATAAGAGGATCTACCACCTGGAGTATTGCGGAATGTTAGTAATGCCTGTACAAAACAGGCACTTGGTTGGGCACTGGTCGGGTGGTGAAATTCTGCGAGCGCGCGGCTAGAACAAAAAACCCAAGGTAGATGTTGGCTGTTGGCTTCCCCACGATTCCACCATGGCACCTCCAAATTCTGCGAGCGTCGCTTGAGGACATGGAGCTGGACTGGATGATCTCCTGCCATGACGAGGTGGTGGCCGGCGCCAAGGCCCGAGCTCAATTGCGCGGAGGTGGAGCCAAAGGGAGGGTCGTTTTGGTTTCTTCTCCCACACTCAATTTTCCGACTATTGAACAGGTTTCGAAACAGGAGCCCTACGAAAGGAATGGTTTACTAGTGTTTTTGTTTTCAAGCCAATTGAGAGAGTGTTCACGTGATGAAGGGAAGCATGAAAATTGGGCTGTTGACAAGATTGTGGCCACAGTGCTGCTAGGACCACCAAGGGTCCTTCAATTGGGGATTAAGACAGCCAGCACAAGGGATTCCTATCGAAGCAGCCGTGGCCCATTCCAATTCAGAAGTCCTCACCAAGGCACACTTTTGCTTGCCGGATCCTGGGTGCTGGGGATGGCGGGCATTCATTTTGATTTATCAAAAACCGTTAAAAGCAGACATGGATCATGACAGAATGTCCTTTGAGGGAAGAAACAGAGATATTTTTCAGGGGATTCCGTAACGTTCAATTCCACGCTGCGCCGCGTTTTCGGGAGGTTGGGCGAGTCAGCATCAAAGCAGGTTGGGCGAGCCCCTCAAAGCTCACTCAAGCCAGCTGTGTCGCTCAGAGGTGCTTTTCGGTGTGCGTTTCATTTCAGTTCATTTTCTGGGCGGTGCAAACTTTGCTGGCTAGTGCAGGGTGGAGACTGGACTCATTCACATCCTTCCCCTTTGAGCCCAGCCCCTGTGTCCACCCTCAAAAGAAGAAGAAGACATCAGCCCCTTCTCCATCGCACCCCCGGAGGCTGACTCGCTCCCCATCCCCTTCATGCCCCAAAAAAAAAGAAAGAAGACGACAACACACCCCAACCCCAAAGCTGACTCACATCATTTCCCCTTCACAGCCCCGGAAGCTGACTCGCCCCCATTCCCCCTTCGCATTGTTTCCTGGGATGGTGGCTGGCTTCTGTGTCTTTGCCGATGTAATTTCCGTCATTTTACAGAGAGTCTGCGTTTGCTTGGTTAGGCACACCAGTGCTCGGCTTGAGAATCGTTATGAGGTTTCCGATGGAGGGAGTGCCACACGGAAGGTTTTACCAGCTCCAGTCATTCCCAGCGCTTCAGATTTGGTTTGGGGCTCTGAGCTCAAAGCGGTAAAGCAAAAGCAGCTGATTCGGTCCGAGATCTTGTGAATATTCATTGAGCGGGAACAGCGATGTTTAAACGTGGGAGTTAGAGCCTAGCAAGTGTGCCACAGCATCCCTCAAGGACTTCCTCGAGAACGCCCACGCTTTTTCTTTTGTGTTGTGTTTCTGAAGGTGCTGCACTACCCGGCCACGCACTATGACCGCCTCTTTCGCAAGCCTGGCGCTTTGTCTGGCTTTTGTTTGGGAGGGTGGGGTGTGAGCAAGATACTCCGATTAGTTCCCATGCAAGCCGATGTTGTACAGCAGTGGTGAAAGCCGGGGGGCTAGCGTGATCGAGAGAAAGCGCTGGGTGGGATGTGAGCCTTACGGTCAACGGAGCCGAGTGCAAGACGGGGGATCCTAGGCATCAGCTTGGATTTGGATAGTTTCTTTGCCAAAGTGTCTCAAAGCGGCCTTCGGGTGTGTCTCATCCGCACAAGTCACAAAGGCCATAGGAAACACAGCTGTGGGGTGCAGCCGCTGCGTCGAGGTATCTGCATCTCGGCAACTTTCCGGCTGTGCGATTTGGGGGCGAGCTTGTCTGGGGCTCAAGTGGATCCTTGGGGATCCATCCCTCACAGGGCAGTCAGAATGTCATTGACAGCCCCTCTCGAAGGAGATGCCATGGCTCATGTTGGATGTTCCGTGTTGGCTGTGATTCAAAAATGGTACCCAAAATGGAGCCCTGGTAAAGGAACCAAGGACTAAACCCTGTTTGTAGCCCCAGCTGTCTAATATTCAGCCACACCCACTTTTCAGACTTCTGGTGGCAATTGCCCGACCGGCACCTTCCCGACTTTGGGTGCCCCAGGTCATCCCGGCGTCCTTCCACCTCGAGGTGGATGGGCCCATTTGAAAACTGGCACGCGATGTGCTCCCACAACTTGGGGGACCCCCGTTACAGCGCTCAAAGTTTCGATGGTGCCCTGTACAGTTCCCATGCTTCGAGAGCAAGCAACATGCAAGTTTGAACCGAGCAGGCCTTTGTCTGCGCCCTTTATTTCGCCCTCGCTGGAGTGCGTTGTGTCAGTCGATGGGTCATGCGTCATGTCAGCAGCAGCCGCTGGGCTCATCGATTTCAGCAACGGAACCGACATTGGTACCTCGTTTGCGCAAGGCGCACTGCGCAGGATAACTCCACAGGTGTCCACTTTCCTGGTGAATGACAACATTACGGTGATTGGTACGGAGTTCATGACCCGAGCACATGTCGAGAGCGGCAAATGCCGCAAAGTGCCAAAACCCACGAAAGAGGGGAGTTTCTCCTTGGCACCAATATCATGCAACCCGGGATATCATGCAACCCGGGCGTGGCCCAGCTCAGAATGCCGTGTTTTTGGCAGTTCACATTTCGGCACCCATGCCGCGCATCAAAGAAACAAATCCAACCGGGGTTTGGACATCCACGTAAATCATGCAGTCCATTTATTGGAAGCCGTTTTGGGTGCATTTCGGCCGCAAGCTGCGGCTGGTGCATGCCCATCAGTGTTGAGATGACCTCCATCGCCGCCCCGGGGCTGCTGAATGAGTCCTCCTCCGTGCGCATCGAGGTGCTCACAAGGCGTCGCGGGATCTGGCTGTGACTTGGCAGATCAACGCGCTATTGTGGGGATAGAAGGGTGTTGAAGTTTGAAGATTTAAGTGTTTGTTTTGTTTGTTTGTGTGTTTGTTTGCCTGTTTGTTTTGGTTGTATTTTGGAAGCTGGTTGTTTGACCTACTCGTTTCGTCATGTCCTGTTGCTGCGTTTGCCCCCTGATTTTGCGGGTTAATGTCCCTTTTCAAGGGGCACGATGTTGGCAAGCGCTACCGCGCTTCGAATTGTTGGCGCAGCATCCGGCCTTTTGGGCAAACCGTGATTTGCCAAGCAAAAGAGGCTAATGGACACTTGGAGCAAGTTCGGGCCTTTGGAAGCACCCAGAACAGGGCGCTGCCTGGATGGGGTTCAAAAGGGAACGAAAAGGAAGACAGCCACGTTTGGGCTCGCCTATGTTTAGGAGAACACGCATGGTCCATATCGATCTTGGCTCATTGTTGAGGTTTGTGACTTTGCTCATGTGGGTGTTTCTTCAAATTACAGCAGTGGCTTCAGGATTGCACATTCTTGCATTGGGGTTCGTGGACTCTGTTCTTTTTTCCTTCCTTTCTTTCTTTTGTTCTTTCTTTCTTTCTTTCTTGCTTTCTTGACTCCTGAGACGAGTGCATCTCTCCCCCAGATTTCCGTCTGCAGCAGCCAGCACGCGGAAGGTTTCTTGAGAATGACACCTCGGCGCCTATGTGGCTTCAGTGGGTGGCTCTTGTGTACCAAATTCTCACCAGTGCTCTCATCGTGGCTTTGCCGCCCGGCCGAAACTTAGGCTTTCCGCTTGGGGGGAGGGGGAAAAAATGTAGAAAAGGCTGATTCTAGGGGGTGGGGGGTTGATGGTTGCCTGTTCTGTTTTTTATTTCACATTTCAACACGTGTACCACCTTATTCGTTTTTTCAAGGCTGATTTTGGGGGCATGAAATAACGATATGGATGTGGTAACGAATTGATGATTTGGTCCCCTGTCTCGTTCCAGATTTCAACTTTTAGTTTTATTGATTGAAAGAGGATAGGACTTTCTGTGGTTTCACGGGTTGGCTTTTGGGCGGTTCTTCTGGTTTGTCATTTAATGAAATGTTTATAGATTAAAAGTTCACTATAATTATAACATATAAGAATATAAATGATATAATTATGGTTTAGTTTTGAATTATACAGGTTCATCAACAATTAGCTTAAACCTTATGTTTTGTACTCCTCCAAAATTCATTCTACTTCTTTCATCATCAATACATCTGTATATTGTTTGATGTGCCTCCATCATTACTTCGGATATATTATCTATGGTTATATTATCTACAAAATCATCACTACGAAAATAAAAACTAAAAGTGTTAAAATGGTCGTCTTCATAATTGAAATGATGAAACCTTACAAACATATTTACCTCAACTATTATCACTGCTTCATAACCGTTATCGGTTTCAATGCCATCTAACAAACAATCTAAGTTTTCATTTTCATTAAAAACTATATCTTTGATGCTTTTTATGTTTAAAGGTATATTTCTTGAAATGTAATACTCAATTATGTGTCTCTTGAAATCATCGCCATCTTCAACAGTATAGCGCTTTGTCTTTCTTTTCGTTTCAGTTCTTTTAAATTTATATCGCTGTTGTATTCTCTTTAATGTCTCAATATGATTATGTTTTATATTCAAATACTCAGGTTCCCCTAATTTATATGAAATTATATCTTTTAATATATCAACAGGTAAGTTAGTCCATTTCTCACTCATTGTCTCTTATTATATTATATTATTTTTTCTTTAAGTAGTTTTTAGCTGGGGGGTTTCAGGTTTCATTTGAATGCCTTGTTAGATTATACAACTTTGTTGTAATCATATTATAGTTATAGAATAATATGAATAAACCTATGTTCAGTGTTTCCAGTCTCCTATGTTGTTCCAAGAACTGCTTAAGATGTTTCTGATATTATACCAGATTAAGTTAACGTCATAATCTTTCATTGGTGCTCTGTGTTGTATTAAATAACGCAACACTGATATCAAAGTATAATAATTAAAATGCATTGTTGTCATTCCTCCTCTTTCGTTAATACTATTGCCATTATGTTTAACGAGTTCTTCTTTCATTATGTTTTCGTAAATCTCTTTTATCCATTGATGATTTTGTTCTCCATACTCGGCGAACATATCTAGATATATATCTTCCATTGTTTTATCGTTTTTAATTATTTCAATGACTTGTTTATATGATGGATAGGGATTATCTTTAATGAAACTCAATATTATCTTTCTATCCTGTTCCAGCTCTTTTTCTGTCACTCCTATCATTGGCATTTCACTTCTTAATATGATAAGTTAATATGTCTTTAAGTCTTTCTATTTTGGATGAGACATTCGTTTTTCATGTTGGTATTATGGAAAGTTGAACCCCGCCCCAGGAGTAAATCACATTGTGATTACAAATCCCAATTTTGAGGATTTCAACCCTTCAACCACAAGGATTTGAAAATCCCAAATCACAGGAGCTGAAATCCCAAATCTCGGGATTTGAAATCCCGAATCCCGGGATTCGGGATTTCTCAGTTCCACTAAATAATTCTCATAATTTACTGCTAATAGAATTAATTAGATATGACTATTTTCATCTGATGACATCAGTTTATCCATCAATCGTTGATGTCTTTGTGATTTCAAATGTTGTGCGTTGTCTGCTCTTCTTATGACTAAACCACAGGAACAAAGAATCCTTTGATTTTGTCTTTCCTCTATCTTCTCCTTGTTTTTGTTAAAGTATTCTTTGATATACTCTGTGCGACGGTCCTTATTGTTAATGGTGTATTCTTTGCTTCTATGTTTAATATCTTCTTTGTGTGTTTTGTAGTATTCCTTGAACTTCTGCTTTAACTCTTGTCTATGTGAAATGTAATATTTGTTGTCGGTGTCCTTCTTCTTTTCTTTTGTTTCGTGTCTATATTCCGCTTTTGTTCTACCTGCTAGATTTGAATTACAAACCATGTTTTCTCTGATGATTTCACCTTCTCTTCTATTAAGTTCTTCACGCGACGCACTCGGGAATTGCTCAATGAGTTCTATGTAGAACTTATCTACACCTAATTCATTCATTTTCAAATACAATGCTTTTGTCTTTTCACGACCTTTATTGACACGACATTTATGTTCAAAAAACCTTTTGTGTAATGGTTGAATTGTGCTTCCTATATAGACTGTATCATCAACAATATTTCTCACAGCATAAACTTTACCATTTTTATATTTATTTGTTGGTCGGTTTTCCTCCATATATACAACTAATGAATTTTAACCTTTAGTGCCCTTTAATCCTGTAATGTCCATAGGGAATTGAATTGAAAGCATCAATATAAAACCTTTTATTTTCATAATTACTGAGTGATTGCTTGACTTGAGACATTGAATAAATCTGATGAGTACGACTTCTGATGAAGTTGTAGGAGATTTCGTGCTTTTTGTTGTGATGCAGTGCTTCATGATAGTTCTGATAGGTCAGTTCCTTCTTCACCTTGTGCTTGACTACACCTTTTGATTTCTTGTGTTCCTCATCCTCGCCGTGGATTGTGAAAGCATAGGATTTAGGTTTCAACCCGATGAATCTAGTAATGATTTTTCCGTTGACTTCATCTTTGTACATTCCTAAGACCTTCTTATTTGTTGTGTCATGGCATGGATGTTCAACAGGATAATCGCTAAAATCCATATGTTGCTTGATACCTTGAAAATCCTTGTAGACATCATCAGTGAAGGTTTGAATTACATAACTGTCAGTATCTGTATATATCAATTTGATATTTTCGTTGTATTTCTTTTTCAATACACCATAGTAAAACTCATACATATGTAATTTACTCAAATCTAAAATTGTCATTCCTAAGAATATAGGTTTATCAAGTTTCAAGACCGACTTTGTCTTTTCCACTCCTACCAGATTTTCATTTATGATAAATCTATTTTTGAATGTTGGATTATTCACACATTTTTCATACCTAACATCATTATCTACCAGTTCAAAATCCATATGTTTTCTCTTGTCTTCCATGGTTTTTCCATACACTGCGTTATTCATTAATTTAAACAAATCCTTCTCAAAGTCGCTCTTCGCTTCTTTCCTCTTGCCTGTGTTGAAGTCAATCCACGGTTTCAACCAAGCCCTCTGTTGAAATTTTATTATCCTATGAACCTTGGTGAGTTTCATACCCATTTTTAGATAATACTGTAAAGTCTTGATATGAACAACATATTTTTCTTTATCTT